ATGTCTATTACAAAGAGTAAGAACATTTTTTTAAAGAATTATTTTATTCAACTTTATTTATTTATTTATTTATTTTAATTCGACCAGGAAGAGACACAAAGTGAGAAAGCAAGCTGTCAGGTCCAGGACTCAAACCATGGTCAGCCATGTGAGGGTCCAACACCCTCAACCACTATGTCACTTGCTGGCCCCAAGAACATTCTTTATTAAAAGCAAAAACAAAGGCAAGCAGCTGGTGAGGCGTTAGGGTGCTCGACTGCCACATGGCTGACTGCTGTTTTAGTCTTGGACTTGACAGCTTGCTTTCTTACTTCTCTCTCTCTTTCTACCTGTTGAGTGGACATGCCCTATAACAAATAATAAGTAAAATTATATTTTAAACAATTAGCTACCTTCATTTATTTATTCATTTGTTTATTTCATTTTGACCAGAGAAGAAGAGAGAGAGAAAATGAGAAAGCAAGCCACCAGGTCTGGGACTGCAACTACAGTCAGCCATGTGGGAATCCAGTACCTTTAACCACCATGCCACCTGCTGGCCCCGATAAAATTATATTAATAATTATTTAAAAAAGAAGAAGAAAGGGAGCAAGTAAACAACACATATTTAGGACTTTCTAAGTAACTCTGACATGAAAGTCCCAAAGAAATATACACAGTTAAAAGGAACGTATCATTCACTTGCATAACTACTAACATTGTACACATGACTAAAAAAGGATGAGTTGGAAAGACAATATTTATCCTGAGATAAACTTTTTTTAAACAATGAATATATGTGTCCATCAAGCAAAATAAATTGATTCCCATTTCATCCAGAACCAAAGAACCCTCTTCTTTTCACCACCCTGTCCCACACATACATACAAGGCAGATATTTTCCATCTAAACTATAAGACTCCAGTTCACATGAAAACTAAATGATTTTAACCACACACAAGCAATACAGCTCAGATTTGTAGTTTCTACATGCTGCCCACACAGCACTTTGTGAGCATGTGATTAGGAGGAATGATGCACAATCACACCACATTCCTTCCCTCAGCTCACACATCAAGAACTTGCCCTCTCAGCTGCATTCTTCTCCAAACAGCCATGGTCACCTTAGCAACCCTACGCTCCTAATACGGACAGCTGGTCCATTTAAAGTCAGTCCTTCTTGGCACGGAAAATGCTTGTTCTTCAAACTGGGGAAGGGAGAGGTTTTCTTTTCAATACACATTATAGGGGTTGATTTAACTTGGTCAGCACTTTTGTTCTGTGGCAGCAATTTGTGTGGAGTTTCAACCTATTCTGAGCTTTGTGATTTTTTTTTTAAATCTAAAAACAAGTAGCTAAAAAAATAAAACCAAGCCAGTTCACATGGAACTCTTAAGAGTGGGACACAAAACAAAAAGGTGTCTAAAATAATTATGTCCTTTCATAAAACTAAAACTATCCACATTTTCGTGATAAAGTTCAACTTTAAACTGAATGGGTTACACCTAAAACATTAATACACAGTGAGAAATCAGTCAGAAGGTCTTTGTTTTTAATATCATACCCTATTTTGAACAATAAAATTATTGCCAAACTTCAAAGTCTCAAAACTTCCAAGATATTAAATAGACTATCAGTTTATCTGCATTCCTTTTATTCTAGCACCTATGTGTAGAAATCTCGCACAATCTTCCTACAGTCTCAAATGTAAGCTAGGTATCGAAACCAAGTGGTGGTGGGCCAGCCAGGCAGTGTGCTGGTTAAAGAAGCTGGGTCCCACATGGCTGACTGTGTGGTTTGAATTCTGGACCCAGCGGCCTGAAAAACACGCCGGGAATGTCTGCATGCATGCCCAAAATCTAGAAAAGATAATGGAGAAGATGAGACTGTGGTGTGGCCATCCCCTCTGGAGGGTGCTTTCTTTCTTTCTGTCTCCCATTCACTCCTCCTCTGGCAAGTGCACATGCCCTATAGCAAATTGAAAAAGAAAAGAAAAAGACTGAGGCAGGAAAATTGTTACACAATGGGAATATGTAAAAGTAAACAAAGTCTTAAAAAAAACAAAACCTATATGGTTGGTATATCTGAAGATTCTCCAAATTTAGAATAACCTAGGACAGGACTGCATTACTCAAAATCCGTCTTGATCTCTGCCTGTACCACTAAAGCTGGGACTGAACCAAATTAAGCCCCACAGAACAAAACATAAGGTTTTTAATCCATTATGCCTGATTTTCACAATACAAATAATTTGGAGAGAAGGGATTACTATATTCTGAAATTATCACATATGCTCATTTCATAGCCATAAAAGAATTCTAATCTTCTACTCATTGAAGCTAGATACCTAGCTGTTTCATTCCTTTATTTATATAAAAAGAGCACATGAGTGTGCATGTGAGAGTGCGTAAGAGACAGACGAGCGCGCCCCCCCCATAAGGCCTGCTTGCACCATGACCCCCTTCCTCCAGTCCTCTAGCCCACCGGGTCTTGAGCACTTGCATATGTGCCTGGAGTGTTTTTTAGGATGACCAAGTGGGGGATTAACAGTGGTCACCATGTGGGATCCAGCTTCACTTAAACAGCAAATTAACACTGCATCAAGGGGCAACCCCTCATACCTTTTTTTTATTTTTAAAACAGAGGGTCTCACTGTGTTGAGATCCTCCCACCTCAGCCCCCGCATCACTGAGATTATATCACTGCACCCAGCCTTTAGGTTGGACCAGAAATCAAGCCAGGTCTCCTGTGCAGTGCCAGCCTGCAGAGCACAGCACCTCAGCAGCACACATCACGAGGTCTACCCTAGATAGCTCACTTCTAAGGAACATAAACAGGCATGCTCAAAACAAAAATATCAAAGTTATGACAGTCATTCCAAATTGGAAGCATTTGTAAAATATTCTCCTAGATATCAGAAGTAGACCAAATTCACATTTATTTAATAAATGCTGCCTTGGTGAATCTAAAGATTAAGTGACTACCACCTATAGTATTTACTGTTTATATTTTACTTTGCATGTGTATGTTTTTTAAATTTCTCAGGCTATAAGGTTCATTCTGATTAGAAACACTTCTTCCAAGATTATCCTAGTAATTATATTTTCCATTATACAGCAAAATATCAGTTGGTAGTGTGGCAATATACATTATTACAAAGAACCTAAGACTGATTCCACTATTAGTCTCCTCAATTGTAACATGAGAATGTCATCTGTTTTACTTATGCAGTGTAGAAACATACCAAAGTGAAGGTAATAAAACTACTATGCCACATCAGAGACTCAAAAATTAAAAGAAACTAGCAAAAGGGAGTATATTACCTAACATAATTCTCTGAAGGGAAAGTATTCAACCATGCAGAGAATATCTAAATCAGTATCGACTTTGAGAGTTTCTGAGGTCTTCCTACCAGAGGTTTGTTTTTGTTTTTGTTTTTTAAAGGCTTTGCCATAGGATGTATGTGCTGGCTAGAGACAGAGAGACAAGAAAAGTAATAAATCACTACCTGGGATGGGGGATGCCTACACCGCAATCCTTTCTCCTCTCAAGATTTTGGGCATGAATGTGCATATGCCCACAGTGATTTTCAAGCCACCTGTTCTGGGACTTGAACCGTGGTTGGTCATGTGCAAGTCTAGTACCTTAACTACCACACCACCTGCTGGCCCCACTAAACCGATTTCTTAAGACTAACAGGCAATTGATTCTAAGATCTTGGCAAAAGGCAAATAAGCTAATACAGCGATTAATACACTGTTCACTTGAATATTTCATTCTTCAGAACTCTAAAGAATTGTATAAACTGGGACGAGCAGTTGGCATTAAAAGTTAAAAAAAACAACTGCATGCATTTCAAAAAATTTTTACATCAAAATAAACTCATTCTTTAATTCTATTTCCCACAAACTTTTTGAAGTTTTGTATCTTTTCTTATTATTACAAGATTCTCACAAGTATATGAGCTATTCTTATATGACCTAAGAATTTGTTGGCAAGACACATTTTGTTTGAAGTTAGGATTAAAAGGGTATAATAAAAGTAGTCAGCTTTAAAATTCAATGACTGTTTATTCATAGCGTCTTTAAGAATAGAGTTATTCCTTTTAGGAAAAAAATTCTTCCATTGGAGTGTGTTCATCTTTTACTGAGTGGACATGATCTATGAGCTCATGGAAGCTATCTTAGGAGCTTTAAATGAAAGGAGAGTGTTAAACTATGTTCCTGCCTATGGAAAATTAACTCTTATATTTAATTTAAAAAATAGAATGCTTTTATTCCAGGTAGATAATAAAAGATTAAGTAGCTCCTCATGGGGACCAGAGGTGACAAGGTGGTTAAGGCATTGGACACTCCCACATGGCTGACCATGGTTCAAGTCCCAGACCTGGTGGTTTGCTTTCTGAACCCTCCCCCCGCCCCCGTGTCTCTTTCTGGTCAAATTAAAAAATGAATGAATAAATAAAATTAAATAAAATAATTTTTAAAGTAGTTTTTCATGTATGTATTTTAAAATTTTTAGATGGTCACCTTTACTTTGGATTTTAAGTCATTGTTAATTTATATTATTCTTTTTTTTGGGTGGGGGGGGGAGGTTTTTGCTATAGGGCGCGTGTGCTTGCCAGAAAGACAGCAAGACAGAAAGCGAGAAATCACCCCCCAGGGAGGATGGATGGCCACATTGCAGTCCCTTCTCCTCCATTCTCTTCTCAGGATCTTGGGCACACACACACACACACACACACACACACACACACACGCACCTGGTGTATCTAAGCCACCAGGTCCAGGAATCGAACCGTGGTTGGCTACAGGGGAGTTCAGCGACATACTATTATTATGCTAACTGCTGGTCCCAAATACATGCATAGTTTTATCATAGTACACATTTCAATGAAATTTTGAAGACCCACCTCCCCCATATGAAGTAAATATAGGGAAAAGGATTTAAAAAGTCAAAAACAATTAAGTCTGAATTCAACTACATTAATTTTTTTTATTACAATATTAACAATTTCTTACCTTGTAGAATTCTCTTCTGAGAAAAACAGATATAATTTTGTTCCTAAGAAAAATCAGGTAGAAAGTTGAAATGTTAGTTTCAAAACAGTCTCTTAAAAATAAAAAATTATAAAATGATAATGACATATTACACTCCAAGTATTAAAAGATTTGACATTACCAAAGTTTAAGAGAAGGTGGGTCTCTAAAAATAAAAAATACTTTTAAAAATAAAAATACTGGGGCTGGTGAAGGAGCTGGACTCCCACAGGACTGATAGCAGTTTGAGTCCAGAACATGGCAGCTCGCTTTCCTTCTCTTTCC